CGGAGTTTGCAGGTCTCAGCCAGAAGGATCAGCCTGGGGGGCTGACAGCAAGGCACAAGGCGCAGGATAGACACAGCCACTCTCTGCTAGTCCCTGATCCAAGGCAGCTTTGGCCTCTGGTACCTGATGTCCTCCAACAGCTCTGTCTCTCGCTGCTGCTTACTCTGCAGGCTGGACAGCTGCTCTATGAAGCGCACTTTCACCTCCTGGGTCAATTTCACCTGCCAAGGAAGGAGTTCTTAGGTCAGGGCCTGGACCCATGCTCTCCACCCCGGGCCTCACACGCTCTGCAGCATCAGCGGCCCCCTCCCACGATCGGCTCGCCGCTGTCCACACCACAGACCCCTCCCCCCGCCCGGTGTGGCCTGACTTCCAGACCCTGCTAAGCAGGAACCCAGCAATAGCCTGGAAAAGCAGGAGCCGAGAGGGGACAAGGCAGGGTGCTGCAGGGCTGAGCTGGCAGGGCAAGGGCCGAGCGCAGCCACTGCCCACAGCCCGCACCGGACACTGCCGGTCTGGGCACCGGGCTCCTCCGCTCCGCTCCCTAGCCGCGTCCTGACCCACCTTGCGGGGAGGCGGCTGCATCCTCCCCGGTGAGCTGCGCCGCGTCCTGCAGCGGCTGGGGTTGGGGGAGCCCGGAACTGCCGGGATCCGCCCCCGCCTGTCGGCTCCGCCCCGGCCGGGCCCGGGCTCCTCCTAGCCGCCGGGCGCTGCTCCACGGGCACAGCCAGTGCCTCGGGCCTGCGGCGTAGGGAGGGCAGTGATCCCAGGCGGGGCCTGGCCACGGACCGGCAGGGAGAGGTGTTGGGCTGGGCACAGAGGGAGCCCTGGGCACAGACCGGCAGGGAGGGGGCGTTGGGTTGGGCACAGACGGAGCCCTGGGCACAGACCGGCAGGGAGGGGGCGTTGGGCTGAGCACAGAGGGAGCTCTGGGCACAGACCGGCAGGGAGGGGGCACTGGGCTGGGCACAGACGGAGCCCTGGGCACAGACTGGCAGGGAGGGGGCGTTGGACTGGGCACAGAGGGAGCCCTGGGCACAGACCGGCAGGGAGGGGGCGTTGGACTGGGCACAGAGGGAGCCCTGGGCACAGACCGGCAGGGAGGGGGCGTTGGGCTGGGCACAGAGAGAGCCCTGGGCATAGACCGGCAGGGAGGGGGCGTTGGGCTGGGCACAGAGGGAGCCCTGGGCACAGACCGGCAGGGAGGGGGTGTTGGCCAGGGATGAGCACCCTGGAAATACTGCTTGGTGTTACTGTTACACCGTGTCTGTTGGTGGCACCAACCTCTGCCTGGGGCCCTGTGCCCATGTCTTTACTCTTCCAGTTGCAGGTCTCAGTGCCAAGGCAGCTCCGGGTCTCTCTGGGGCAGCTGCATGCCCAGTGTCTATGCAAGGTGCTCACGGCCCTATCTGGCTGCCTGGCCCTTGCAGCCAGCATTGCCCTGGACTCACGGCCACAACCACCACCTGGTGCTTTCTGTGGGAGCCCCACTCCTGCCTCAGCCTGGCAGAACCCGGCTGTTCTCTCTCCATCTCATCCAGCTGGATCCCCCACACGAACGGCTCAGAGGACCAGCTGGTGGCACAGGCCTCTGCCTGGTTGGGGAGGATCTCATCTGGAAAATGTACTGTAGGGGCCCCCAGCAACGCTTCCTTCCCCATCAAAGCTAGTTGGGCTACAACAGCTGCTTGCCTGGAGCTAGAGCTCTGTCCCAGGTATGCCCCTCACCCTGCCCTGGCCCAGAGGTGGGCACAGTGTGGGACTCGCACATACCTGAGTCCTGCGGGAGCTGGGCCCTTGGGGTGACTGGCTCTGGCTCTCTTCTGATGCCTGTGATAGTCCACAGGAAAGTGAGGGTTGGCACATCTGTGCCAGTGCAGTTACAGGGGAGAGGACATCCCTCCAATTGCGGGGCAGGTAAGAGCTGCGACCTCAGCTCCTGATGTGGTTCCAATTCCTGGGAGGCTCCTTGGGCTGGGAGTCTGGACAGGGCCGGAGGACACGGTTCAGCAGTAGTGCCGCAGTATGTAAGGACCTGGCTGGCCAGGTAGCCAGCACAACTGTCCCCTGCTCCCCAGGCCCGTTGGTTATCCTGGCCAGCCTTAAAGGACTGAACAGCAGCTCTGGCCGTTCCAAAGCTGGTACACTCACAAGAAGCATGAGCAATGTCTTTCCTTGGGGGAGGGGCTCGAAGGCCCCTTGGGGGAGGGGAGATTGGGGGCAAGTGAGTCCGGGGGGGTGCTAGGACAGTGCTCTGGTGTGGAGGGGGCCCCCTGGAAGAGGCTGAGATTATCACCTGATAAACTGTTGCCATTTGGTGTCAAGGATCCAGGCCAATCCTGCACTTGCATCCATCATGCACTAGCTACAAAGCTGTGTCTTTCCTTGCTTTCCCTTGTCCTCTTCCTGCTCTGCCATCCCCATCTTCCCCTTCCCCTCTGCCTCCAGCTCCCTCTCTCTGTCTCATACCATTCCTATCTGAGGCATTGCCACCCATGTGTTCCCTCCTCGATTAGCCTCATTTCCTGCGACTCGTTAATATTGCCCGATCCACCATGCCCCTTCCCTTTGCTCCACCTTCTCCCCACAAGGAGCTTCCCTGCACCCGGGGACCTGACTGGGGATGGGGCTGAGGGTGATTCATGGGACAGGGACAGCCTGGGGTTTGGCCCACAGGAGCCAGGCTGGAGAAGAGGTGTGTGGTACATAGAGACGCCCAGATAAATCCTGGAGCGGAGCAGAGCAGATCAGGGTGAATAACTGAGGTTTTGGATTGGCGGCAATTCTGAAATATAGAAGAAAAACACTGGATTCAGCTCCAGCCAAATCTGAACTGGTTTGTGATTGTTAGTGAATTGAAAAAGCCATTTTTGGTCTGTTCGAGAGCAGGGATGTCCTGGGGTGGCACTGGGCATGTGGAGCTATTGGTTAGCCTGGCCCTGGGGGAGAGGGCTGGGGAGCAGGGCAGTTCTAAATCCTGGGACTGAAACATTCCAAGCCCGCAAGCTGGGGGAGCTTTGGGGGACCTGTCACTGAGGGATGTCTGGGGCTGGGAGGCTCCTTGCCAGCTTTGAAGAGTAGCTGTGGCTCACTCGCCCCATGCAGCACCCATGGCCCGAGTGCTATCCCTGCACCGTACATAGTTACAAGGCCTGGGGCCCCTTGCTGAATGGGGCAGTGTCAGCCCCTAGCACTGTGCCCTCACCTGCCGCTCCAGTGTAATCTGGCCCGTGGTTCTGAGCTACACAGGTCAGTGACTAGTAGTGAGTATTAGTTAAATCCCCAGGGATGGGCATTTGCTCAGTTCTACATTTTCTGCTGTTACTTTAAACCAATCCATGGATCAACGCTGCTCTCCCCACTGTGCTCTAGCGACTTGCCCACTATGACCTTTCAGCGCTCAGGCACTTCCAGGCTCTTCTCACCTAAACAAGGTCAGAACTTTGTAGCTGGGCAAATCCCTCTTCTGACTCGTAGCCCAGAAACACAGCCTGACTTATCTCAATTCATCCAAGACTAGTCAGTCTCCCTTCAGGGGCAGGTTTCGGCTGGTTCTCTGGCTGGGCAAACAGGGATTTGCAGCTCTAGCATGGGAACAGTTTTGCAACATTAACCATGATGATCAAACCCAGCATGTCAGCTGATGTGCTAGGCCCCAATCCTGTAGCCAGATCCAAGGGGGCAAGCCCAATGGGTCTCTCATGGACACAGGTAGGGCTCCCACCTCTGAGGTGCAAAATATGGGCCTCGTGGGCTGATCCTGAGCCCATAACACTGGCCAGCTGGCAGTGGGCACTGAGCACCCGTCCAGCTTTCCTGGGACAGGTACCTCAAAAAATGGATGCTACTGAGAAAACCTGAACAGGTGGCAGCTCTACTGTGGTGTCCTGCTGCACAGATATGACCAAGGGATTGGGACCTGAGTGAGTTTATTGGTGGTTTAAATGACAGAGGCTGGGGCCCCCTGTTCCAGGCCCATTCTTAATCTCACCCCAGGCCCAGCCTGACCTCCAGGAAAAGGTGTCATGGGGCCTCACTGCTTCTGAGCTCTGTCATGTTCTCCACCCCAGGTCAGTTCTCTGAAGCGTGGCACTAGCTCTGATGTTGCTAAGCCTGGCTCCTGCAACGTCCCTGCGGCGCCCTGTTCCACCAGCCCAGCTCTTCGGAACATTCTGAAAATAGAATTGGTTGAATAATGCAGAAAAGTCCTGAATAATTTATTCACCGAATAACAATATTATTCACCATCTCCATTATTCAGCCAGCTGCACAGGGCTAGAGCCCGGCTCAGGGCTTTTTGCTGTTCAGAAGGCGCCACACTGCAGTAACGGCTGCCCAGTCTGCCCCAGTCCTGCTGGGAGGCGGCGGGATTTCTGCTCTCTTTGCTGGTGCTTTATTGGTGTAAGATGGCTGCAGGTGAGAGAGGCCCTGGGCAACAGCACAGCAGCCTGGGCTGTTAGTTATGGCTTGGAATAAGGGGGTGAGATAGAAGCCACAGGGCACGGTCACTCTGCTGGCCTTTCTCTAGGGACCCATAAAGGGTGCACAGGGAGTCGGGCCAGTGGCTCCTTCTCCCTTTTTCCCATTGCTCGTTCCCCCTGCCCCCAGTATCTCATTGCAGGAAGCTGCATGGTTGGCTGGCCAAGGAAGGATGGGTGGGAGAAGGGAGTCATGACCAAGTTTTCCAAAGTGCTCAGCTCGCAGAGGAGGATGAGAGTGGCAGGGGCTGCTGGGGGTTGTGCTGCTTTGACAGCCTGCTGCTAAGGAGGTGCCTGCACTGGCCAGCTCGCAAGAAAGCTAAAGGCAGCAGGAGGTCGGGGGGTGGGGGGAAGCTAGAGAGCAGACCAGGAAACTGCATGTAGAGGTGGGTTGTAGCGGCTGCAAGATTCACACTCGGTGCTGCAGCTTGGTCCTGCTCTATTGGGTCCTCTCCATGCATCACTGGTACGTCCAGCAATGGGGCAAGTGGGGATGAGTTGGTCCATCCCTGCACCACGGCGCTTGGGGGGGATGCAGGAGGGGAGTTCCCCTTGCTGCAGCTGCTGCAGCTAAAGCAATGATGGGTGCTCCCACACCATTGCAGTGGCCTGAGTGAGCGGCAGCCGGCTCGGTGCAAGCCTCAGCGAGAGCTGGATGTCTTAGCAAGCAGCCACAGCATTTCTAGGAGCCTGCAGCACACTGTCCTACCCCGCCATGCATCCGATCCCTGCCCATCCTAGTCATTCCACGATGCACAGCTCTTTGGGAATCACCCATCTGTCACTGTGTCACTGGACCTTACAGTGTGTGCACCCTGTGGAAAAGTCCTCCTGGGTGTAAAGGAGAACAAGGAGTTTCCAGAGGCTTCCCCTTGGAAAAGGACCCAGTTCTCTATGAAATGCTCCGGATGTCTAGAGTAATTTCTACAGGCCCCTATTAAATGGCTAGAGAACCCAGTAGTTTAATCCTTATTCCAGCCTGTTGCTCTGTCCCACAAGGGCATGGGATGGGGAGAAGTCTTTGGCCAGCCAAAGAACTGTTTGTTCCTTTCAGCCCCAGTATCTGGTTGCTGGCCGTGGATGTTTCCAAGGGACCTGGGCCAGATTTTTTAAGTTGCCGAGAGGCACCGGCTGGGACTTTCCAAAGTGCCTTGGTGCAGCTAAATACTGTTACAAATGTTACACTGCTGAGCTGTGATTCTGCTGCTTAGGGCCCAGGACTGGCTCCCCAGGCTGACTACAGGGTGTCTCGCAACCTGCTAGCTGCCGTGTGTGCCTATGGCATGTCTATGTCTCTGGCTCTCCCTGGCAGGTGTAGGCATTTGAAAATCCGGACCCCCTGTCTGGTTGCCATTACGCTGTCCTGGCTGTATGCCCCCAGAGACATGCTGTTGTTGCCGGCACCCAGTGCCGAGAGGCAAAACAACAGCAGGGGTTGGTTCACTACCCGGTATGCTTCACCCAATAATCACAACGGGGTGGAGAAGCAGGAAAGTTTATTTGCAGCTGCAAAAAGGTACAGGGAGAATAGAATCTCAAATCCTGCACACAGAGCAGGAAGTTATACAGGCTTTTATACATTTTTTTTAAGCATACTTATTTAATAGCAAGCTGCCCTAAGTATCCATATAGCCAGCTAATTTAGTTACCAGCTAGTTTCCTTGTTTTTTGTATTATTTGTTAAACTATACATAAAGCTGCTTTATTTAGCATTGTTTTTTTATATTTGCCCTGTTTGGCCTTGTTTAGTTTCAGGCAGTTTGACTCTGCAACATATTGTTGCAGATTCTCAACATAACTGCTGCGAGTGCCTCCAGGCGGGGGGGCCAGCCAAGGACACCTGGGCCTAGTGCGAGGGGGCTTCATCAACACTCGTGGTCTTCCATCCCCTCGAGTTACCTAGTGGCCATGCCCCAGTGTCCCCAACACTGTGGCTGGGAACATTTCAGGCCTCCTCTGTCAGCTCCTCAGGTGTGAGCGCCTGCCCTGGGCGTTCAAACGCAGAATCACAGAGACCCCGGCCTGCAAGGAAAGAGGAAGAGAAAGCGACAGAAAAGGAACCAGAGAGGGAGTTGTCTAGCGCCTGTGCCATCACTGGGACTCTCCCCGCAGGGGCCGCCCCCTCATCCAGCACTTTACAGAGCCTGACAATGCACCACGCATGTGCTGCACTCGCTGCCCCAGTTCAGATGAAGTCAAGCCTGCCTGGGTTGTAAACATGTTGTCCCTGCAGTCTGGGCCATACTCTGCAGCTCTCTGCACCTCACTTCTACTCACCTGCACCTGGCTGGGCTGGGCTGAGCAATGCCCCACAGGTAAGCGCCCTGCGAGGCTCCTTTGCTCCACATGGTGAGGAGGTTTTCCCCTCCCGCCCCCCCGCTTCAAGCCATCCCAATGCCCATGGGGGTCTCCCCTCTTGGGCTCACTGCAGCGGGGGCAGGGAGCAACTCCGGGGAGGACTCTCTTAGCACTGGCTGGGTAGAATTGGATACGCTGCTTATAAGGTTGCATAAGGCAAGTGGGTTCTTCCTTCTCTCTGCCTAGGTGCCGAGCTGCCTGGTGGGTGAGGCCAGGGCCCCACAGGCCATCGGGATGAATGCATTGCCATGGCTTCCTGTTTGGTGCAAGGATTTCTTGCTCCCAGAGGCCTCAGCTGGACACCTGTCTGATGGGTGAGAGCCTGGCTATGAATCCCATGACCTGGGGGGGAATTCCCACCCATAGCCCAGGGCTTATAGTGCATTGTGTCCGAGCCCTCCTGTCCCCACTCTGACCGGCTGGCCAGCCGCTGTTTGTTGTCAGGATGTCAGGCCCGTGGGCTCTGTTATCACGGAGGACTGCTATTGCTGAGGCGGTGGAGCAGGGATGTGCCTGCCCATTTGGAGCTGGGAGCATTTGGGGCAGGCTGTTTGTTCATCTCAGAGCAGTGGCTCTCAACCTTTCCAGACAACTGGACCCCTTTCAGTCTGATTTGTCTTGTGTACCCCAAGTTTCACCTCACTTAAAAACTACTTGCTTATAAAATCAGACATAAAAATGCAAAAGTGACTCAGCTCATTGTTACTGAACAACTTTCTCATTTTTACCATATAATTATAAAATAAATCAATTGGGATATAAATATTGTCCTTACAGTTCAGTGTACAGTATATAGAGCAGTATAAACAAGTCATTGTCTGTATGAAATTTTAGTTTGTACTGACTTCACTAGTGCTTTTTCTGCAGCCTGTTGTAAAACTAGGCAAATATCTAGATGAGTTGATGTACCCCCTGGAAGATCTCTGCATACCCCCAGGAGTGCACATACCACTGTTTTAGAGACAGTCAGACTGAGACTCCGCTGGGGTTGGGGGAGGAGGGATGGGAGCCATGAACTTCCTTCTTCTCAGCTGGTAGACTTTCCAAATGAAAAAGCCATGGGCTTGTGGGTTGGGCTCCCTTCCTTCACCTTGGCTGGGTAGAAATAACACCAAATGCCCCTGCTGGCCTGCAATGCTCCCTGCCTGGTCCGAGAGCCAAGGGGCAGGCTTGGGCGCAGGCTGCAGGAAATCCATCCAGCTGGGTCTGAAACATGACCGAGGAACATTGCAGGCTGCTGTTTGGCTCCTACATCCATCTGCAGGGAGGTGGTGGAATCTCCTTCCTTAGAAGTTTTTAAGGTCAGGCTTGACAAAGCCCTGGCTGGGATGATTTAATTGGGTATGGGTCCTGCTTTTGAGCAGGGGGTTGGACTAGATGACCTCCTGAGGTCCCTTCCAACCCTGATATTCTATGATTCTATGCAGGCACCTAAAGGAGTGGTTTGATTTTCAAAGGTGCTGAGATCCCACTGGAGTCAACAGGAGTGGCTGGGGATTCGCTGCCTTTGAAAATCAGGCCATCTACTTAGGGCCATCTAAATATGGACCCAGGAGCCTGCCCGTAAGCCACCCATGTTGACAATCTTATCTGAAGGTTTTTGGTTTCCCCTGGTGCTTTATGCCCTCCTGTCTGCAACTCAGGTGAGCTCTCTACCTCCCTCCCTGGGAACCGCCCCTCCCCACGTGCCTGAATTCCTGGGTTCAGCGGCTCCGTGCACTTGTAACATTCCCCCTGCTGTGGACGGTGGCAGGGCTGGATGCACAGTGCTTCACAGACATAAATGGGGCTGGTGCACTGGGCCCATGGTATCATATTCAGGAAGCGTGTTGTGGGTATCACAATCACAGCAGGTCGATGCATGGCCTCCCTGCATGACTACATCCTGGATGCGGCAGTATCCAACGCTCTCGGCCACTCGGCCAGCTGTCATAGAATCCAATGGCTGTAAAGGAGGCTGGGGAGGACAGCTCAGCTTTATGGAGCACAGCATGAGCAGCACTGTGCTCACGTGCATACCTTACAATGCTGTGCATTCTTTATGCCCGTGCCAGAGGGGATGTTACAAGTCGATACATTAAGCTCAGCTGCGTGGAGCCAGCTACTTGGCTCCATGCAGCTGAGCGTAATGCATTGACTTGTAACATCCCCTCTGGCACGGGCATAAAGAATGCACAAATGCATTAACCATCCAACCTGCACCCTCTGCTAGAAACCCAGTCAGCACTAATGCCTGCACCCTGGGAAAACTCTCTGTGTTTAGCAAGAGCAAACAGAAACCACAATCCCAACTGCTGTCTGCTGCTGCCTGCCGAGTCTCTCTCTCTCTCCTGAGTCCTGCAATCCTGCTGGGGCTGCAATCACCCCTGTGCATGAGGGGAGCTGCAGGCACCTCCCAGCTCTGCACACAGGTTGCTATCTCGGTTGGCTCAGGCACCATGGGAAATGTGGCTGTATCTCTGATGTCGCTATATCTGCCTCCCCAGGGCTGTCGGCTCAGCCCAGGTCCCGCTTTCCAGTGGGGCGGTTGGAGATGGCTTTCCTCGCTGTGTCAGCCCAGATAACACTCTGGTCGACCCTTGGCTTGACAATCAGTGAATTGTGTGCTCAGTTCCTCTTTCCTCAGTTCCTTGTCGGCTGTTCCCCTGGACGTTTTCCACTGTTGCCGGCACAGAGTGCCCGAAGCAAGCAACAGCTGGGTTCGTTGCCCGGTGTGCGTCGCGCCAATGACCATAACGGGGTGGCGAAGCAGAGAGATTTATTTGGAGCTCCAAATAGGGCGCAGGGAGACTGAGCTGTCTCAAATCCTGCAGCAGCGCAGCAAATTCCAGTATACATTTTATACCTTTGCCTATTTCACTATACAAGCTTATGCAACCAATTACCTGTTGCCCCATACAATACCGTAGCCAATCAGCTAAAGCAGCCAGTTGTGGTTTTCCTCAGTAGCATCGCCCAAGCCTTGCCCTATTTGTTACTGGTTTTTGCTAAACATTTCTGCCTTATCCATCTGTTTCCCAGGCTGAAGCTGGCCTTGGCTGGCGAGCCGTGTGCAAACCTGTCTGTTTGTGCTAGCTTCCTCAGAGATATGCAGGATCACAGAGAGTTCAAGGAGCAAAGGGGCCTTGGTTTATCCAGGCCTAGAGCAGGAGGGCTTCCTTGACACTCGTGGTCTTCCACCCTCCCGAGTTACCTAGTGTAGTGCCCAGTGTCACCAACACCATCACCCAGGCTGCTGCCAGTGCAGTCCGCTGAGGTATTCCACCCGGCCAGTGCAGCTCCTTGCCAAGCTCTGAGCAGCCGTGGTCAGGCTGCTGACTCAGGCTTTCCACTGGGCTGTGCGGTTGAGTTCATGTGCTCCAACAGCCAGCCTTTGCTCAGACTCAGCCCGAGAGAGTTGGGCGCCATTATCAGTTTTCACTTGCAGCACTGGCCAGCTGGGGCTGTGTTAGTGTCTGCGAGAGGATCCAGTTCCCAAAAGCCTAGCCATCAGCTCTTACCGAGTAGTCTGGCCATTTTGCTACAGTTCAGGCCATTCTCACTTGGTCCAAGCTTGGGTTGCCATGTCACGTGTTATACATGGCTCCTTTGCTTGGCCTTTCACAAGGGCTCCAATTTCCAGTCCCCCTGTGGCCAGAATGGCACCTCTCAATCGTTGCAGACACTCGTGTGTGCGACTCAGTCGCTAGCAGGGATCCCTGCCGAAGTCTGAGGCCTCAGAACTCTGCATATGCTGGATCTTGGCCCTTTGGGTGTGGCCTCCCCGATCCCTACCACTGTCAGCGCCATGGGCTTTCCCATCTAGCCGTCCTGCTGGAGCAGTTGCTTCAGGGCCGTGGGGCCTCATTTTGGCACTGATGCTATTGAATCTGTGTCAGGTGTGGCTCTGACACACAGGAATTCAGCAAAGCGACTTTGCCCAGCTTCTGCCCTGAAGGTTGCTAAGGCAGGAGTTCGGGCCCATCTTGTAGGGCACTTCTAGGCTGTGTGGTGCAGCAGCAGCAATGAAGTGTTAGGCTGATGGCAGGTGTTGAGTCTTTGCTGTCTGTGCAACATTAAGAAAGAGGAAGCCACATGGGCACTGCTGATGACTGGTTTTAGTAACCACATGCAAAGCAGGCCTAGTTATATATATATACGTGCACTATTGCCCTGTTAAGATCTGGTGGCTTCTGCTATCGAGGACTGGAAGACTCACTGTCCAATACCCGTCCATTACACAAAGGTGTTCTGAAGATATTTTCTAGAAGGGCATGGTTCAAATTGACACTGACCACTTCTTGGACATGGCTGAATCTCTCATACTCTGCCACTTATCACAGATGGGGTCAGGTTCCCGGAGCAGCATGCTGTGTGGGGAACCCAGCCTCTGGACTCCTGTGTGTTTTAAGCCTCCTGAATCTGAACAGTGTCCAGGCACTGCCCCAGGCTTGGGGTCCCTCTAGAGTGACCAGATGAAACGGACAAAATATTGGGACACATGGGGGAAGCAAAAAAAAAAAAAAGCAGCCGGAGCATCGGAACGTCTGGTCACCCTAGGTCCCTCAGCATACTCAGGGTGCACACCATCGATCTAGCACCCCCTCCTGAGAGCTGGAGCCTACATGGTGCCCCTGAACTAGTACTGGCCCTTGGACTCACCCTGGAGCATAAACACGTGCTCT